CTCTTGTCCTGTTTCCTCTTTATATAATAAAAAAATCACTGCTGATGAAGAAATTAAGACAATAATATTAAGTTATTTTTCCCACTGAAGTAAAAAAAGAAGAAGATTGTTTCGCTCCAATGCAAACAGTTTTTGTAAATACATGTGTGTCCTCTCTGAACTCTGCAGAGCTCATCAGAACTGCAGAGSTCTTTTGTCCTCAGAGCTTCACAGTTTGGACCTTCGGTTCTGATGGTCACATCCAGAACGTCTGCACTCAGGTTGGGGTTTGKCAGTTAAACATCTCAACTTTCTCCTCATTATTTCGTAGTAAATGTCAAAGACAGGAGAAAAGTATCAAAGTAAAAGTATAAATTTTCATGTTGAAAGTAAACGTGAAAGTTACCAGACATTTAARTAATGTAGTAAAGTACAGATACGTGAAAACGCTTGAAGTATTTCTGCTTCATTACATTAGACAGTGTCTGAGCACGACGTCTTTAATATCACAGGAGATTTAGAATAATGTTATTTTTTATTTTAGATCAAAATAACCACACCATTATTTCTCAACATCAAATGTTCTGACATTAAACAGGCTGGTAATAAACTCACTTCTAAATAAAATCTGTGTTCTGGACAAAGGATCTTATCCTGGTACAGACAACAAATTACAGTTTTGGTATTTCATAATATAAGAATTTTAAAAATAACACAATGACTATAAAATGACAAAATAATTATTGTTTTAAACTGTTCAACAAATGTATAATACTTCTTTTTTGTTTGTTTGTTTGATCAGGCAGTTTGTTTTACAGTAATTAAATCTGAGTGACTCAGAAAAGTACATAAAATAAACACCAATGCATAGGCGTAATTTGCAGGGGGGTTAGGGGGGTTATGACCCCCACAATAATTTGATCCAGTTAAAATACCCCCCCCCAATAAACTGACATTATTTGCACAAACCCAATAGAAATTAACCGGTTAAGTAGACAGATGCAACTCTCTTGTTGTCTTTAGGTAACTTTAACCTGATTTAAATATTTACCATCTCATATATGTATGTTTAAGCATAATGCTAAAAATGCCATACAGGATTCTAGAGCATAACCCCTCCAACGGTAGACTTAAAGTTACGCCCTTGCATCAATGTGTAAAAACAGAAAATTAAATCTGCTCTTTTAAATTTAGGTTTTCACATAAAGATAATCTGTGTTTCTGCACTGATAAAGCCTTATTTACCAGTCAGGTATAGTAAGTTATAAAGTAAGTACAGTAAGTTGGAAATGAAAAGTTAAATGTTACTTGCCCATTTGAAGCTGCAGGTGTCCAGTGGGGTCTCTGGTTGAGGATCTTGGCTGTACTGGGCTGTACTGGGACAGAAGCTGTGGACCAACTGGGGTGTGACTGAACCTGAAGCTCCACCTTTAATAAAACACGGCTGCACAACAATATTTTACACACGGCTCGTATTAAATATTACCTGTGATACCCAGAGGTGGGCAGTGACAAAGTAAATTTACTTAAATATTGCACTGAAGTACAATTTTTCAGAAATTATGCTTTACCTGAGTAACATAAAAAACATTTGACTTTTATTCTACTATATTTTAACAATAAAAGTATACTTTTTACTTACAGTTCCACCAACACACTAAAATCACACTACAGGTGGTGACATGCAGCTTTAAATCAATCGTGAGGAGAATAATGTTTGTCTTAATAATATGTACACTTATATGATAAACATGTTTCAGCAGCAGGTCTTTGTTCAGATCCTGATTATTTCTCCTGATTTTAACTTGAACTCGTCTCACTTAAAGCCCTGTCAGACTACACAACTTATAAAACATTGTTTATGTCTAAACTGCTAATAAAAGTTATATATTTGATCAATTTGTTAGAGTTACATTATATACATGCCAAAAACAAGCTTCCTGTTGGTTTTGTTTTTAACTCGATGTTCAACGTAGACGTCTTTAAAATGTTCATAAGTTGTGCAGTGTGACAGGGCCTTTAAGAATACACTGTTTTACACTTCTGTTAATGGATTTCTACCAAGTTAATTTTGTTAAACTGTTTTGTACAAAAGTGTTTTAGATCAGGGCTATTCAACTGGCGGCCCGCGAGCCACATCCGGCCCAAGAGTGACTAAAGTCCGGCCTGCCAAACAGGGGTGGAGCCAGGGGGTGGCCATGGCCACCACAGAAAACTCTTTGGCCACCCCATTGGCCACCCTGCTGTACTCACCCCTTCCACAGTGAAACAACTTTTAGTGGTGTAATAATCCTCCTGAACAGTTGGTGGCAGTGTTTAACAGTTTGAAACATCACCAAACTCAAAGAAGTGATTGTTTTCTACAGAACAGAACATATGCCTACTGTATGTAATCTGACTTTTTTTTACATCATCATTGTTTGTGTCCTGTGATAATTTGTTTTCTTTCTTTAATATGGTTATCTATCAGCATTCAAAACGGACAACAAAGTAAGAATTTCAATGCTCAGAGAAACATGTTTTTCATCTGTGACAATAAACACTTCGAATCTTTGAATCTTTGAATCTTGAATCTTTGAATCTTTGAATCTTTGAATCTTGAATCTTTGAATCTTGAATCTTGAATCTTTGAAACTTGAATCTTTGAAACTTGAATCTTTGAATCTTGAATCTTTGAATCTTTGAATCTTTGAATCTTGAGTCTTTGAATCTTGAATCTTTGAATCTTTGAATCTTGAATCTTTGAATCTCGAATCTTTGAATCTTTGAATTTTTGAATCTTGAATCTTTGAATCTCGAATCTTTGAATCTTTGAATCTTTGAAGCTTGAATCTTTGAATCTTTGAATCTTGAATCTTTGAATCTTGAATCTTTGAATCTTGAATCTTTGAAACTTTGAATCTTGAATCTTTGAATCTTGAATCTTTGAATCTTGAATCTTTGAAACTTTGAATCTTTGAATCTCGAATCTTTGAATCTTTGAATCTTGAATCTTTGAATCTTGAATCTTTGAATCTTGAATCTTTGAACCTTTGAATCTTGAATCTTTGAATCTTGAGTCTTTGAATCTTGAATCTTTGAATCTTTGAATCTTGAATCTTTGAATCTCGAATCTTTGAATCTTTGAATCTTGAATCTTTGAATCTTGAATTTTGAATCTTTGAATCTTGAATCTTTGAAACTTTGAATCTTGAATCTTTGAAACTTTGAATCTTTGAATCTTGAATCTTTGAATCTTTGAATCTTGAATCTTTGAATCTCGAATATTTGAATCTTTGAATCTTTGAATCTTGAAACTTTAATCTTTGAAACTTTGAATCTTGGATCTTTGAATCTTTGAATCTTGAATCTTTGAATCTCGAATCTTTGAATCTTTGAATTTTTGAATCTTGAATCTTTGAATCTCAAATCTTTGAATCTTTGAAGCTTGAATCTTTGAATCTTTGAATCTTGAATCTTTGAATCTCGAATCTTTGAATCTTTGAATTTTTGAATCTTGAATCTTGAATTTTGAATCTTTGAATCTTTGAGTCTTGAATCTTTGAATCTCGAATCTTGAATCTTTGAATCTTGAATCTTTGAATCTTGAATCTTGAATCTTTGAATCTTGAATCTTTGAATCTTGAATCTTNAATCTTGAATCTTTGAATCTTGAATCTTTGAATCTTGAATCTTTGAATCTTTGAATCTTGAATCTTGAATTTTGAATCTTTGAATCTTGAATCTTGAATCTTGAATCTTGAATCTTTGAATCATGAATCTTTGACTCATGGTGACAAATGTATTTTTTGTCACCATAACACAGTGTCATTTTATGTTCTGAAGGCTGCATGATGCTCTGTGTTTGGTTATGAGTAGGCCTGTCACTAAATCAGAAAAAGTGAAATGCCCCTTTAAATTCACTGTTGGTGGTCATCAGTACTGCACCTGTTCATTGGGTAAAGTTATTAATATTAGTTTTAAACATGCAGTTGAAGGTCATCATTATTTGTCACAATGACATGTGTTACAATTAAAAATAAATCAATAAAAAACATAAAGTAAAAAGCACCCCTAAAGTCATTGGATATGATAACTTGTGCAATATTAATTAATCTTATCTCAGCTGTAGCAG